CAAGTGATCTGAAATAGATCAAGGATCCTATAAACTATAAGACGATTATGTCAGGTTGTCGGTCAGTTGTCGGCATGATCAAGTAGGAAGCGAGAACCTAATATAATTACGTATATTCTCTTTACCTTATAGTTCTAAGCTGTTCCTATTATATACAATATCATATCTTCTTTTGTGGATCTATAATCTAATTACAATTTTCGAAAGACCCACAAAAAACTCCATTTCGAACCCTGATTATATTATAACAATCATCGCAATGTTTATTATTGTTGTTAAACGAAGAAGAAAAAAGCAACAACAACAACAATAGAAACAACAAAACCAAAAGTAAGTAAACGAACAAATAAAGTATATATCATAAACGAATCGGTATATAACAATGAATAAAGTCCTTAAAGTACAAACACAGTTATTGAAATATATGTAAATACCACTACAAAGACAAACCTAGAAAAAATTTACACATGAAATATAAAACAAAAACAACCTCATCATACAAGTACTTGAAAGCAAAAATATTAAATATAACAAATTATTATTTTTTCTTTTCTTTTGAACAAATAAAGAGCAAAAAGTGAATAAAATGCGAAGAATAAAAGAATAAATACGAAATCATGTAAAATCAGGATTCAGGATACCGCAAAAGAGTGGTCGTAATAGTGGTGGTGGCTTTTGTTTTTCTATTTTTGTATTTTCTGATTGAGTGTGCGAGTGTGAAATTGTGAATTTTTGTAAGTGTGTATGTCTGTGTAAATGGTTTACTTATAGTTAACTGGTTTGGTTTCTCATTAGGGGCGGCAATCGAAAAAGTTATTTTAAAAGTTTACAACAAAAAACTGTTAATCTTATACCGATAACGGTTCTTCAAAGTCTATTTTATAGCTACTCGATCAAAGGTGATAGTAACTAAAGAAAAGTTCGGGGTCTCTTGGTACCTTTCCTGATCTTTCAAAGAATTATCGTATGATGTTCAGAAAAAGAAAGAAGATTTGCCTTTTATAATATCAATTGAAAGGAATATGACTCTAATTCTAGCGAAAGCTTTTAACTCCGCTATCGTTGACTCTAACGAGTTTGTCAAGTTAGATTACATTTGTAATTAGTGTATTTCGATATATACATAACCTAACTATATTAAAGTAGCGCGATCGGTTGTTTTTTGAAAATATAGAAGTCCAATTGAGAAACCAACTGAGAAACCGATAAAATTCTGTGATCACTTTTATTTCAAAAACTGATTTTCGAGTGAAAAAATGTAAATTCGTTAATTGGCTAAACTAGAGGTTCCATGACAAAAAGAATTAAATTCAATGTTAACTTTCATTTCCTATCAAAATTCGATTTTTTAGGAAAAATCTTTATATCTATTTTAAGGCTTAAGTAGAGGCCGCAGTACAAGAAACTGTGATCACCTTTATTTTCCACCAAAAACCAATTGTGAATTGTGAGTGAAAATATTAAAGTCCATTTTCTGGCCAAACTAAAGGCTAAACTAAAGGGTGCAAAGGATTAAAATCTATAATCACTTTTATTTCCCAACAAAAAACATTTTAGGTCAACAACGACTAGAATCTCTGATTATTTTATTTACCACCAAAAACATTTTTTTGAGTAACAACATTAAAGACCATTTCTTTCTAAACTAGAGGCTCAAGGGTGCATAGGACTAAAATCAGTCATCACTTTCATTTCCCACCGAAAATCGATTTTTCAGTGAAAACAGTCTATTCGTGACTAAACTAGGTTTGATAAATTTCGCAGCCGCCAGAGGCAAAGCTCACTTGGGTCCACATAGATGAATTGGTTCACTTGTTTCCACATAGGTCCCGTTATATTACCATGTCATTAACAGTTTACCAATTGTTCTTAAGGAGGTGGGTTAATTATTTCATCTTTTTGGTCTTCCAAATGAAGTTGTGGATCTTTGTGGACAGTGTCCGGTTATTATTGCGATGAGGTTTCTGAGATGGAATCTTGACAGGTGTATGACAATGTTGTTATTGTTGACGTGTTATATCCATCCTAGGCCAACGTTTACTGGTTTCCAAGCAGGTGGTTTAATTTTCCCATCTTCTGTTAGCGATCAATTGCAGTTTTTCCACAATCAGCTGTTTTCCTTTAACGTAAGGTATGCCGATGTTGCATCCGAACTCATTCACTTGTAGAGTACTTAGTGCCGGAACCCATGCAAGGGTAATCGATGAATGTCTTGCAATCTCTTCGAGAGACGTCCGTCATTCTTGGACAACTTTCCAATTGGGATTTAATGGCTGCTTTGCTAGCGATAGTAAGATTTCTCTATTATATATCCCATAATACGGTATTTATTCTAAAACAATTTCTATGGCTATTATTTCAGCCTGGAGTATACTACAGTAGTCAGGGAGCCCTTCAGACAGTCTTATATTCAACTGTTCCGAGTATATACCACATCCTACGCCTATATAGGTTTTTGATCCATCAGTGAATATTCGAATGGCATTAATCATTATATTTAGGCCATTTGTGTAGCTCGTTCTATTCGGAATGCTAATTGCAAAGCCCGGAACGAAGATTTCAGCATGACTATATGTATTATGCTTTCATGCCTTAATTACTTTAAGTCTCATTGTGGTGTTCACAGCGACTTGTTTTTTGAGAAGTGTCGGGTGGTATCCAATTTAAGATAGTCAAAAGCGCTTTTGACGGTGTGGTCTCGGTCTCTCTTGTTACCATGATTTCCATCATTCTCATGATTCGTTCGAATTTACTCCGATGATTGTTCTTCTCTATAGCTAACCAGCAGACCATAGAATAAAATTTGTTTAAAGACTGTTTGATATATCCTGTATATATTTTTAGGGTTCAAACCCCCAGGGTAGACATATTGCCTTTTTACAGCTGTATATTGCAATGGCCACTTTAGAGGTCCTATTAAGAGTGTTTAAGTTCCAATTAAGTTTGCTGTCCAAAATTAGTTTCAAGTATTTGCACCATCAGACAGTTTCAATGTAGTTCCATTTATCTTTCGAGTTGCAAATCGTGGGATCTTGTATCGCCTTGTGAATAGTATCAATTCCGTTTTGGCTGGATTATCTCCTAGACCACAGTTATGGCACCATTTTATTAATATTTTTAGTGTGGATTCCAGTATCTCTGTCAGAATCTTTGCATCTTTGCCAGCTACTGCTATTACCACATCGTCTGCGTAAGCACTTGTTATACCCTCCACCACCATCAGTGGTGATAGAGGGTATATATAATTTTGTCATTCCGTGTGTAACACCAAGAAATATTCATCTGAGACCCAACAAAGTATATATATTCTGGGTCCTTATCAAATTCTGAGTCGATTTAGCTATGTCCGTCTGTCCGTCTCTCCGTCTGTCCGTCTGTCTGTGTAAAACACCCCCACGATAAAACGAAGCAATAGAGTTTAACCAAATTCACCCAAAATGTTCTTCATTTTCCTAAGTTGTTTGGTATTGCAAATGGGCAAAATCGGTTTACACCGGGAAAAGTTATGAATCAAAATTTAAAACAACCTCGAAAAAAATAAGCATTTTTTACACATTGTGATGTAATTTTCTCGAAAACTATGCAAAATAATTCCATGAAAATCACCATACATTCGTTTCTACATAAGAGCTTGATCCCTGCTGAAAATTGCCAGAATCGGTCTACAATTTCATGTACCTCCCATACAAAAGTACATATTCCTGGAAAATGGATTTTTTGTTAATAACTTCCGCCACATTGTCGATATCTTCACAAAATTTTACAAATTAAAATCTTATGTCAATATAATTCTTTCAGAGGAAAAATTTTATGGATCGGTCCATAATTGGACATAGCTCCCATACAAGGTCCCCTCCCGAAAATCACTTAAACGCGCATAACTCATTACCAAATTATGATATCCATATAAAATTTGGTATAAGTATTGCCCATATGCATAGAAATATTACTGTGAAATTTTTTTCCGATCGGTCCATAATTGGTCATAGCTCCCATACAAGGTCCCCTCCCGAAAATCACTTAAACGCGCATAACTCATTACTAAATTAAGATATCAATATAAAATTTGGTACAAGTATTACTTGTATGCACAGAAATATTACTTTGAAATTTTTTTCCGATCGGTCCATAATTGGTCATAGCACCCATACAAGGTCCCCTCCCGAAAATCATTTAAACGCGCATAACTCATTACTAAATTAAGATGTCCATATAATATTTGGTATAAATATTGCCCATATGCATAGAAATATTACTGTGAAATTTTTTTCCCGATCGGTCCATACGTCTGGAGGAATAGGACCACGCCATCAGTATATCTACGTTGTTCTGGACGTCTGGAGGAATAATTCCATTTGGACCTGCGGATTTTAATGGATGGAAAGTTTTCACCGTCCATTTGATTTGATGTTCTGCTATCGGAATCTCCATTATGTTAAATACACTTGATTCATAGTTTCCATGCGGTGGACAATCAGGTTCTCAGGGTACTCATATCATTACATATTAATATTTCTAGAGTATCGGGACTATTCGTGATGGACTTGCCATCGCTATGCTGAATACAGAATGGAAACGTTGTCTTTGACGATAGTATTTTTAGCAGCCGACAAGTCTTCGAAGAATTTTTTACTAAACTAGAAAGCCGAAGACAAACATTTGCCACCTAATTGATCAAAATACGAGGAAATTTTCGTTCCTACGTTCGTTGACCGAAAATTGTTTGAAGAGGAACTAATCTCGTTAGATCTCATTGATCAACACCGATAAAGCATTTCTGTAAATGAAAAAAAACTGATATTTATAAACTTTTAAAATAACTTTTAAGCCGCCCCTCCTATATCCAGTAGTTAGAGCTGGTGTTCTAGGTTGCTTTATATTTACCATCACACCACTGCCACTGCTTTGTATATCTGTGTGCGTGTGTGTATTATTTATCTCTGTGTGCAAGTTGTTGACATTGTATGACGACGTCAACAACAACTAAAAACTAAAGCTGCCACAAACAACCACACACAATCACATACACACCGACAGACACGCATTTAACCATCTTTGGTCGGATGCTAAAGTTGCTCTGCTACGCTCTGCTTTGCTATTGTGCTGGTGGTAGAACAACACAAAACTCAATGGAATAATAACAAACGCCGCCGGTGTTAATGTTGGTTGGTATTGTTGTAATCATTTGCTAAGGACCAAAGGACGATGATGATGAAGAAGAAAATTTTAAAACCAAACAACAAGAACTAAAAACAAGCAGTAACAGCAGTAACAAAGTGTGTGTAAATAATTTTGTGGTTTTGCACTAAATAATTCATGACAAACATCATAAAAATAATAAATAAAAAAGTAAAAGTGTTTAAGTGAAATTTATAAATAAATAATAAATTAATAAAACATAAAAAACAACTAAAAAGGAATACTTAAACGAAAAGTAAATCAAAAGTGATCAATAGACCGTAATAAAGTGAAATTGATAGATTAATGAATTAACTTTTATTTATTAACAAAAAGGTAAATAAACCAAACTTTTTGCTAAAATATAAATAATTAAGAAAATTATTAAATTTTATATACAAATTTAATAGTACTAATAATATTTTTTTCATAAATCATACTTTACATCCTTTATAAACATGTCTCCTCTTCATTTCCTTTTACTGCCATATTTACTATATTACGTTTTGAATTGCTTTCGTTTCTGGCGCCATCTGTTTGTGGAACATAAAACTAAGTGTGTTTAACTACTGAACAGTAGATGTCGCCATAAATGCTAATGTTATTTTCTTGACATATGTTAAGATTTTTATGTTAACGAGGGTGGTTTTGAGTTTCCTCCACTTTACTGAAAATCACAACAGTTGTTGAAGTGTATTGTTACGTTAAATTGTATTTAAATCCATAAACAAGTGTTCATAATATGGTTATTGTTAAGCGATTCCTTTCTGTCATCGCTAATTGAACATTTGAAATATTGTTCGTTAAATGTTCAGTTTTAAGGGATGATCTCATTTATATTTGCTTAAATGTTTACGAGATTTGTTATTATATATGAGTTTTTAATGTGTTAAATGTTTAAGAGTTTACTTTAGTTTAAATAGTTTCATTTACCAGTTCGGAAGTGTATTTTTAAGAGATATAAGTGAGTTTATTTAAAAGTAGATTATAATAATAAAGAATTATCTTTACACTGAGACCTTCGTTATTTTTTCATGCGAGATGAACTACAATTAGTTCAAGGTTCTAGATATTCCTCTGTAATTATTGTGTTTGTTCGTAGGACCGTAGTCCTCTCTTCTATGCCGGATATCATGGGTTCGATTCCTGCTCGAGGCACTGCTAAAAAGCGCATATCTGGCTTTTCAGATATGATGTATTCTTTGAAATTAACTAACTAACTAACTAACTAACTAACTAACTAACTACCTAACTAACTAACTAACTAACTAACTAACTAACTAACTACTAACTAACTAACTAACTAACTAACTAACTACTAACTAACTAACTACTACTAACTAACTAACTACTAACTAACTAACTAACTAACTAACTAACTAACTAACTAACTAACTAACTAACTAACTAACTAACTAACTAACTACTAACTAACTAACTAACTAACTAACTACTAACTAACTAACTAACTAACTACTAACTAACTAACTAACTAACTAACTAACTAACTAACTAACTAACTAACTACTAACTAACTAACTAACTAACTAACTAACTAACTAACTAACTAACTAACTAACTAACTAACTAACTAACTAACTAACTAACTAACTAACTAACTAACTAACTAACTAACTAACTAACTAACTAACTAACTAACTAACTAACTAACTAACTAACTAACTAACTAACTAACTAACTAACTACTAACTAACTAACTAACTAACTAACTAACTAACTAACTAACTAACTAACTAACTAACTAACTAACTAACTAACTAACTAACTAACTAACTAACTAACTAACTAACTAACTAACTAACTAACTAACTAACTAACTAACTAACTAACTAACTAACTAACTAACTAACTAACTACTAACTAACTAACTAACTACTAACTAACTAACTAACTAACTACTAACTAACTAACTAACTAACTAACTAACTAACTAACTAACTAACTAACTAACTAACTAACTAACTAACTAACTAACTAACTAACTAACTAACTAACTAACTAACTAACTAACTAACTAACTAACTAACTAACTAACTAACTACTAACTAACTAACTAACTAACTAACTAACTAACTAACTAACTAACTACTAACTAACTAACTAACTAACTAACTAACTAACTAACTAACTAACTAACTAACTAACTAACTAACTAACTACTAACTAACTAACTAACTAACTAACTAACTAACTAACTAACTAACTAACTAACTAACTAACTAACTAACTAACTAACTAACTAACTAACTAACTAACTAACTAACTAACTAACTAACTAACTAACTAACTAACTAACTAACTAACTAACTAACTAACTACTAACTAACTAACTAACTAACTAACTAACTAACTAACTAACTAACTAACTAACTAACTAACTAACTAACTACTAACTAACTAACTAACTAACTAACTAACTAACTAACTAACTAACTAACTACTAACTAACTAACTAACTAACTAACTAACTAACTAACTAACTAACTAACTAACTAACTAACTAACTAACTAACTAACTAACTAACTAACTAACTAACTAACTAACTAACTAACTAACTAACTAACTAACTAACTAACTAACTAACTAACTAACTAACTAACTAACTAACTAACTAACTAACTAACTAACTAACTAACTAACTAACTAACTAACTAACTAACTAACTAACTAACTACTAACTAACTACTAACTAACTAACTAACTAACTAACTAACTAACTAACTAACTAACTAACTAACTAACTAACTAACTAACTAACTAACTAACTAACTACTAACTAACTAACTAACTAACTAACTAACTAACTAACTAACTAACTAACTAACTAACTACTAACTAACTAACTAACTAACTAACTAACTAACTAACTAACTAACTAACTAACTAACTAACTAACTAACTAACTAACTAACTAACTAACTAACTAACTAACTAACTAACTAACTAACTAACTAACTAACTAACTAACTAACTAACTAACTAACTAACTAACTAACTAACTAACTAACTAACTAACTAACTAACTAACTAACTAACTAACTAACTAACTAACTAACTAACTAACTAACTAACTAACTAACTAACTAACTACTAACTAACTACTAACTAACTAACTAACTACTAACTAACTAACTAACTAACTAACTAACTAACTAACTAACTAACTAACTAACTAACTACTAACTACTAACTAACTAACTAACTAACTAACTAACTAACTAACTAACTAACTAACTAACTAACTAACTAACTAACTAACTAACTAACTAACTAACTAACTAACTAACTAACTAACTAACTAACTAACTAACTAACTAACTAACTAACTAACTAACTAACTAACTAACTACACTAACTAACTAACTAACTAACTAACTAACTAACTAACTAACTAACTAACTAACGAACTAACTAACTAACTAACTAACTAACTAACTAACGAACTAACTAACTAACTAACTAACTTAATGATCACGTGCACTATAGTAAAAATTCAGTGACACCGCTCGACCACATGTTGCAATACCTATTAAAAACCATTTGGTTTTGAAGATTCGGATAACCTTCCCTCTTGCCGGTAGCTAGCCCTATCCAACTACTCTTTGTTTCAATTTATTCTCTCTCAATCTTATTCGCCCTCTCTCTCTGGGAAACCCTTCACTTTATATTTACTTCATTCGAACTAAACTAAAATAAATTCGAATGATATTGTTGTAGATGATTTCTTTTAGCTGTCATTGCTCTGACAATCTTTAGCCAGGTGTGATTCAGACGAAGATTAAATTGTTGTGAAATTTTGTAGTGATTTAATATGGTTAATACTTACATAACAGTGTAATCAAATTTTTATACATATGCATTGAAGCTCTAGATCGGTATATTTCAAAATAAGCATTTAATTTTATTTTAGTACAAGATATAGTGTTGAACAATTTTTTTAAATTTTAAAGAGATTTCTTCCATTTAGTCTTAAATTGTGATTGTGTTTTAATTTACTTTCTTTTCTTTCTTTTAGACTAGAACACAAAGATGGATCATCCTAATCTTCCCTTTGGTTTTGCCCTACCAGGACACACACACCCACCCATACCACCAACAGCAAATATGCTAGGACCCCACCCCAGTGGTCATCCCGGACCAACATCTAGTCCACCACAAAGTGTGCCTGGTAGAAGAACACCTCTAGGTTCTGTTGGTCTGGGAGGTTTCTATGCTCAAGGTTTGGGTATGTTACCGCCGGGAGATGAAAATAAACCAGATTCAGGTGTGGGAGCAGCAATGGATAAAGCAAGTCCTAATTTAATGTTAGCACCCTCAACAAGTAGTAGTGGAATAGGAACTTCTGCAGCAGCGGGGCTAACAGCTTCTGGTGGTGGAGGAGGTGGAAGTAGCTCGGGTTCTACTGGAGGTGGTGGGGGTAAACAGAAGAATAGACAAGGCAAAACTGTGAGATTAAATATAAATGCAAGGTGAGTGTGATTTAAAAATAAGAAGAAATTTAATTTGTTATACTAAATATTTTACCTCAAACAGAGAGCGTCGTCGCATGCACGATTTAAACGATGCCTTAGACGAACTGCGCAATGTGATACCGTATGCTCATTCTCCTTCAGTGCGTAAACTTTCCAAAATTGCTACTCTATTGTTGGCTAAAAATTATATACTTATGCAACAGAATGCTATAGAGGAATTAAGAAGGTTAGTAATGGATTATTTTACACTTTTTATAAAAATTATTGATTCTATTTGTTTTTTGTTTGTTTTTGTCATTAATAGACTTTTAGCTTATATACAAAGCACCACTGGAGCCGCTCCCTTGGATTTGGCTTCATTTCCTGCAGCTGCTAAGCTTCAAGCTTTGCTGCAGAGTGCGGGCAGTGAATTTAATGATCCACCCGGTAGTAGTTAAAGTTAAGATAATACTAGTTCTCCAGAAAAGTATTTTGAGTAATTATTATATTTAGTTATAATGAGTTTAAAGGAGATCAGTAGGTATACAAGAGATCGCAAAATATGATCTTCATTAATGCTCACTAACCGCTAATGAATTATTTTCAATACAAGTCATCTTGAGTATATATTCTTACGAATTTCATTAAGTTATACAAACTCAAAGTGAAACTTGGTTGAGGCAGGTCCTTAAGTTATAACGAGGTCTGTAAGTTATAACATTTTTCGTAAAAACGTAAAAAGTAAATAAATCCCCTTCATTGATATATTCAAAAATTTAAATTTTCTAAAAAAAATTTAAATTAATAGAACTAATTACATCAGAAATTAAGAACTGGCGCTTAATTAGAAATTTCTATTTCATTTCAATTAATGAGTTCAAAACAATTTTGTTTTGTAATCTGAAAAAATCTTATAACTAAAATGATGATATTGCATCAGATTGTTATAATTGTCTAAATAATATTATTTGTTTTTCAAAAGAATCTTATTATTTTAATACAAACAAATTTATAGTTAATTTAAAAAATTACGTTGCAAAATTAAAGAAAAAAAAAAACATCTAAACTATTTGTTGGTTAAATTATATACAAGTTTTATTTATACAAACTTGAGAATTGACCTGCCTAATAACTTGAACTGATCTCTTATACCAGCAACCCTCTATAAATTGTATTATATTTCATGAAAGTTTTCCTTTTAATATTAACATTTAAAAGAAAAGCAATTAACTTGTCAATTTTGTGTAATTTTAAATATTTAAATGCAAAAAATCTAGTCAGTTTTAAACCATTTTTAATATTAGACATTTTATTAAGTGATATATTAATTTTTATAAAATATTTTAATCACAAGAAGAAAAAAAAACCAAAGAATAAGTTATTAATAGTTTATAATTTCAAATAAACATTAAATTAGTTTTTAAGTTATATTTTAAATTAAAACGTTACAAATGACGAAAAATACAAGCAATAAATGAAATTAAATCTTAAAAACAACAACTAAAAATCATAATGAAAAATTATAGATAAAAATTTATTGATAAAATATCGTTCATGGGAAATCATTTGAATATACTACTCTAGTGTGGTTTGAAATGAACAAAAGGAATGTTCCTATTCCCAACATAAATTACAGCAATGGGCTTAAAACCAACTTCTGAGTCGATTAAACCAGTCCTGTATCTATCTTAAAATACACTAGATTTTGGGTCTTAGAAAGTATTGGTGATCATAAAATAATGTGAGTTTGAACGAATGTAAACATGAACCACATTTTTTCTATCAAATTTCATAAAGATTATGAGGTATATAAAAGGCAATCTCCACTTTGTGGGGAGGGTATTATACGTTTGTGCTGATGTTTGTAACGTCCGTCCGTCTGTCCATGTAAAATTTCAAGCTACAGGCCACAATTTTCAAGATATTTTTATAAAATTCGGACCATACGTGTTTTTCGGTACAAGGAAGATGCCTATTGAAAATGGTTGAAATCGGAAAATTATTTTTATACCCACCATCAAAAAAGATGGGGGTATATTGATTTTGTCATTCCGTTTGTAACACATCGAAATATTGGTCATAGACCCACAAAAGTATATATATTCTCATTAAATTCTAAGACGATCTAGCCATGTCTGTCCGTCCGTCCGTCTGTCTGTCTGTCTGTCTGTCTGTCTGTCTGTTGAAAGCACGATAGAGTCCGAATGGAAAGAGCTAGAGGGTTGAAATTTCACATACATATTTCTTATAGGTAAGGTTTGTTTGGTATTGAAAATGGGCAATATCGGTCCACGTTTTCGAATAGCCCCCATACAAGTGGCCCCTCGAAAAGCAGCTTTGACTGCCATAACTTGTTTAAAAATACGAATATAGCGATGAAATTCGACATAAGTAAGTTTCTTGTGATCCAAAATCACTATGCAATATTTTATGAGGATCGGTCCATAATTGACCCTACCCCCTATATAAGGTCCCCTTCAGAAAATGAGTTTAACGCTCATTACTGGCTTAAAAATACTAGTATATAGATGAAATTCGACATAAGTAAGTTTCATATGAGTAAAAATCTATCTAAAAAATTTTATGTTGATCGGTCCATGATTGACCCTACCTCCCATATAAGGTCCCCTTCAGAAATGACTGCAACGTTCATTAATGGCTTAAAAATACTAGTGTAGCGATGAAATTCGACACAAATAAATTTAATACGAACCAAATCTACCAAATTTTATGAGGATCGACCCATAATTGACCCTACCTCCCTATATAAGGGCCCCTTCAGAAAATTACTTTAACGTTTATAACTGGCCTAAAAATACGAGTATATAGATGAAATTCGACATAAGTTTCATTCGATTCAAACGAGGTTTGATGGTGGGTATATAAGATTCCGTATAGCCGAATATAACACTCTTACTTGTTTTGAATTGAATTTTTGAATTTTTTGATTGAATTGGGGATAGTTGCCCAATTCAATCTAACCTTACGATTTGGGGTTTTGAACTCATAACTACTAACGCTCCGAAAATTGGCACAACTAAGTTTTATGTAGGCATAAATGACCATTTTTATAAAGGTCGACCGTCGTTTGACCCTAGATCCCATACAAGTCCCCCTCCAAAAAACAACTTAAACGTCCAAAAATTGATTAGCATAACTTCAGCATAACTAACCTTTATATAAAACAAGTAAGAATTTATAGTAGGGCATGGCCGACCATATGAGACCCTACATCAGTGATTATGTTACAAATTTTTATTATTTTCTTTAATTCATTATTCATTTTTACTTTAATTTAGAAATATTTTAACAATTTGTTGACAAAAAATGGATTCTAAAAGAGGGGTGATATGAGGGCAGGGGGTTAATATGGTCCTATCTTCATATAAGTTATTTATGCAGAATATCATCGTGATATTAGTGTTTATAAGTGAATTTTGACCATCAAGTCATTTTGTAAAGGGGACTTAGTATAGGGGATAGGGTCAAATAAGGCCCGATCATTACGAAAATCAGTAGTATCATTAAGACTTATATAAAACTACGTTTTGTCGATTTTTGGAATGATACAAGGACATTTAATTTATTTATGAGCTCAGAAGCCCTATTCGGGAGTACGGTTGTATGGGGGCTATACGAAATAATGGACCGATTTAAACTATTTTTATACCCTCCATTTTCTTACACATTCTGGTGTAATTTTCTCAAAAACTATGCAAGATAAATTCATGAAAATCACCATACATTCGTTTCTATATGAGACCTTGATCCCTGCTGAAAATTGCCAGAATCGGTCCACAATTTCATATACCTCCCATACAAAAGTACATATTCCCGGAAAATGGGCTTTTTGTTAATAACTTCCGTTGCAATGTCGATATCTTCACAAATTAAAATCTTTACAAATTAAAATCTTATGTCAATAGAAATCATTCAGAGAAAAAATTTTCTGAATAGGTCCATAATTGGAGATAGCTCCCATACAAGGTTCCCTCCCGAAAATCACTTAAACGCGCTTAACTCATTACTAAATTAAGATATCCATATAAAATTTGGCATAAGTATTGTCCATATGCATAGAAATATAACTGTGAAATTTTTTTTCGATCGGTCCATAATTGGTCATAGCTCCCATACAAGGTCCCCTTCAGAAAATCACTTAAATGCACAATATTCATTACCAAATGATGATATAGATAGAGAATTTTGAAATTTTGTCTTTATATACATAATTGATCACAGCACCCATACAAGGTCCTTTTACGAAAATCTCTTAAACGCACATTACTCATTACTAAATAAAATTTGGTACAAATATTAGTTTTGTATACAAAATTTTATTTCAAGATTTTTTCACCATCGATTCATAACATCGGTGCGGTCGGTCCCATACAAGGTTCCCTTCTCCTAAAAGCGTAACCGTATTTAACTAGTTGCGTAAACGTCCTGCCCCTAAAAGCGTAACTGTATTTAACTAGTTGCATTATCATTTTGTGTAGAACAAAATTATATATATGTATTTTGAAAATCCTTAAATCTATCACACACATGCATACATGCAAATTACTAAATATTGCTAAGCGCTATAAAAATATAAAAGAAAATGGCGTTTGTAATGTTCAATAAATCTTGAAATTGTAATGGATTTAAGTTGTTTAAATCTTGGGATTTTTCTATTTAAGACATGAGAAAACTTATTTCTACAAATATTTGATCAATTAGAAAAGTAATAATATAAAAGTAGCTGGTGGAGGGTATTTAAGATTCGGCTCAGCCGAATATAGCACTCTAACTTGTTTTTTAAATCAATTGTAAACCCCCCAATATCTCTTAGTTTACGTCATGTGACAATGAGAGCATTACGAAGGTAAACTATTTAAAGCTCAAAGAAATCAATTTACTTTCATGCCAATTATATAAAAGTCTAATATTTCATCATTATCACAATGTGTTCAAATGTTCATCTACTGTATTACTTGTTGACACCTAATGTAGAAAAAAATTTTTTTTTCTTTTACTCAAACTGATGTATGATACTGATAGTATGTGTAAATGAGTTAGAAAATTGATATGTTCAGCTCTATTTAAAGCGAAAATACTACAAATCTGTAATAAAACTTACCGGTTTTTTGGAATGCAAAAAAAAAGCAAAATAATATTGATCTTTAAACAAACACAAAACTGTTGTTGGAAAACCGCAGAGTTCCATACAAGTGAGTATTTGTACATACGTATGTGTGTACATAGAAGTACATACATACATACATACATATGTAAGTATGTGTTTGATTTGTTTAGTTAATATGATAATGATATGTAATCTGATTAAAATAATAATTATATAAGCGCCTATGAGATGCGCTACAAATGAAGAAGAATATATTAAAATTTTTAATCTTGTTTGTTGAACTTTTTCTAGAATTTGTTTATTTGTTTTAAAAATAGTTTCGCCCGCATATTTGTTTTTTTGAAATTTTTTTTAAATAAAACTATGAGATAAGCAATGTTTTACTGGAAGACAATTTTCGTATACTTTATTTAAATTCAAAGCTCAAAGTTCGACTTTTTTAATACCCTACACCATTATAGTTTCAATTAATATTTGTAACATAAACAAAAATTGGTTATACAATCACTTAAAGTGGGTTCGCTTAATTATAGAAATGAATCTCCATATGAAAACATGCGGCCGCATTCTAAATACACGGGTGTAGGCTATGTTGTAATTGACTTATCTGACTAAAACTTACTACTCATTATAGACTGTAGCTACAACATTTAAAATAATCATAAGTTCAAAAGCCCTATTCGGGGGGTATTGTTGTATG